TCAGCCACGCCCCTCCGGCGAAATACGCGCAGGACTGGGGGGTGGGGTGGGAAGGAGCCCCCCTCCTAGGAAAAGTTCAAGATTGTAACGAAAAGGTCCCACGCATGGGCCAGGCAGTGGAGGATAGTGAAGGACTCCGATTCACCTGCAGGAAAGAAACGCATTCATTTTTTCCTCCCATGGCAATATAGGTGCGCGTTTGGACGTGTGTGCTTGAATACCTTCTTTTTTCCTTGCCGTTTGGACAAGTTAGCCACTTGAATACCATTTCATTGCTCCCAGCCAAGGGAACAATGAAAACGGGCAGCGGAAATAATGGAGCAACGTTAAGCACTTCCCTTCCTGCAGGCTACCTCAGACTCCCATTGTTTCTGTGGAAGAGAGCTTAAGGAAGAGCTTCAGATGCGCTCGTTGAAATCAAGGGGCTTAAAATTATTTGGATACTGGGATATTTTTCTTTAGCAACGACAAGGAAAAAACAATACTGAGAAAAAATGACTTTACTTATATAGGTATGTTATAATTTATTGTTCAGCCTTTCTGTGGATTTCTTTGGCAGCTTTCCTTAGACAATTCCCAGGTAAAATGAAAAAAATAAACTTAGGCAGAAGCAAAAAGTTAATATGGGTGGAAGTGAAAAGATTTCCTTCCTTCCTTCCTTCCTTCCTTCCTTCCTTCCTTCCTTCCTTCCTTCCTTCCTTCCTTCCTTCCTTCCTTCTTTCTTTCTTTCTTTCTTTCTTTCTTTCTTTCTTTCTTTCTTTCTTTCTGATACATAATGACAACTTTGGCTAGAGATTCAGACCCAGTTATCTTCCCACACTTTGATGCTTTTGAATATCCTCTGCCACTCTCCTAGGACGGAATTGTATCTTTATTTCTTGAGGTGGGATCATGCTATCAATAAAACTTGTTCTAAGGCCTGATTAGTACTTGGACAGAGAAGATCCAGAGCACTGGTGAATTGAAAGCAGTGAGTTGAAAGAAGGCAACTACAGACCTTTCCCATACCTTTGACCTGCTCCTGAGGGTCAACTTGACTGTTATTCCCTTTCCCCAGGAATCCCAGAGCCGGGGTTTTCTTACTTTTTTACTTCACCCATGCACCCACCACCCATTTAAACGCCTCTGTCCACATCAGATCAGGCTGCCTGGGCCTGGTTAACTGAGGCCTATCTACAATAATTTCTGCCCGCCCAGTAAGATAGTCAGTGTGAGTGTGTCACCTAGGAAGCACCTTCTCTGCTAAAAAACTTTGCTTCTAGGCCTGAGGTTAGGATGGCCGTTGAGTCTCTGAGGTCTTTTTTGGGGGGGGGGGGGAATTAGTTTTTCCTACCCCCCCCCCCAGTTTTTAAAATGTCAAACTGGGAATTGGGCAGCCTCTAAATCCAATAAAAGGCTTAGTACATGTTCCAACAAATAAAAGCCACGTTTGGTTTGCTCAGCAAACTAATCAATAGCCGGAGGGATAGTGGTTGTTGGGTGTATTGACAAATCATGCCCATGGGAGACCCGTGCACGTGAGTCTTCCTGAATGAAGTATCACTTGTTCCCAGGGGGAGCGCCTTGGAATAGGACCAATTCTTCCCCTTCCTCCAAGTTGGAGAAGGGACGCTGGCTCCTCTAGTATCGGGATTCGGCTCCTGAGAATCGGCCAATAGAGCCGCTTCGTCTCGCTTGGACACATCGAAAGGTCGGCAGAGCTTTCCTTCCTTCAGGCCCTGCTCGACGAGTTAGTTTGTTTCCTGGCACCTCCGGGACCGAGTGTGTGTGTGCGTGCGGGGGAGGAGGGGAAGTGTGCGCTCAGCTGGGACTCTTGTTTCCTCCCAATTGCCCCCCTCCCCCCCCCGCTTCGCCGCACATACACAGGCACGTTCGTCTCATCGGGCGGATGAGATTCCTAATGGCTCCCCGAGCCACTAGGTTCTTAGCCGGGCAGACTTCTGCAAGTTGTTCCCGGTATGTAAATTAGGTCCCCAAAGCTGTTGTCCAAATCGAAGAAACAGAGAAATTAATCTGGGAGACTATCCATCATAGACTGTAATAAAGGGAGCGACATGGATGAGACAGATGATATGATTAAGGAGCTGTGGTCGTTTTAATTAACTTTTCGCTGTCCTGTAATGATCAAACTGGTCAACAGACCCGGTCAATAAGCATGTTAATATCAAACAAATAAAACCAGGGATGATTAAAAACCTCCCGGTTTATTAAATTTGAAATTCAAATGAAATTTATGTGCAGATGCAGACGGAATGCTAATGGGGCGCCACTTTTGCCAAAGCAGCGGATGCTACAGGTTTACAAGAAAACGTGCGGACCGCTCTCTGCCAAGCAGCGAAAGGGAATTGGTGCGCTCTTATTACCTCCATGAATTTGGAGAAGAAATATTTTTCTCGCTCTTGAGGCCCCAGTCCTCAGAAATTCCTATCTCCCCCTCTCCCCAACGTTCACCCTGCCCCACAAAGATCTGGGACTGCCTGAGGACTGTGCCCAGCCCTGATAACACAGGTTTTTAATTAATCTGGTATTTTCAACCCAGAGGAAGGAGCATAGCAGGCGAAGGCCGCTAGTGGATGCGCATCCTGCGCGCACATACCCTCCGCACACCAAGTTGCCCTCTCCGTCTGTTCGGAGGCACCGCAAGAAACGCAACTACACCGAGGCTTTGTTTCTCTTTCTTTCCCTTGTTTACTCTCTTGCTGGGCACAGAGAGTGCAATTCTTCCGCAGCGACATTTTCTAAATTGTGATAATTTGGGTAGAAGTTGCTTTTCAGTAGTTGAAAGAAAAGAGAAAAAAAAGAAGTTATCTATAGAAATAAGCATTTTTCAAACCCTCCCAAACTATATAATAACTGGCGAGATTTAGAAATGCATAACTGACAAGAAAAGGAGGGAAGCGTTTTTCTCCCCCCCCACCCACCCACCCAAGGAATTCGTCTAATTAATGATCCCTGTTTGCAGGGATCTCTTTAGAACACGGAAGCACCAAGCGTTCTGCCCCTTCTTTCCTGGAGGGAGGCATTGACTCCGTTGACTCCCGACCCCCACCCAAATCTGCAGGTCTTCTTCTCCCGTGCCCTTCTGGTGCAGCGGATAAAGTCAACAGATCCCGAGTCTCCACAGTTACTCCACCATCCGGATTCTCCCATAAAGCACTCCCTTACTCTTTTTTTTACCCACGGTTTCACCCCCACCCCCTTTCTGTTGGGTGCTTGGTGGGGGGAGGGTCAAGGGGTAGTATTGATTCAATTTAAATCCTAAATTTAAACAAGTGTGCATTAGGTCTTTAAAATGAATATCATTATAGAAGGAGACCAAAGGCGTGAAGTTAATTCTTTTTATTTGTTAAACGCCGCTCCCTCCCTCCCTCCACCCGTTCCTCCTCCTGGGCTGGCCTGTCCCGCCTTCTCAACAGGCTCAAGTCACTCAGAGCAGCTCAGCGAGAGAAGCGCCGCATTCATGGTTAACCGTCAGCCTTCAGAGAAAGACAGCAGTTCATTAATTTACTTCGCTCCTTACTTCCAAGTATGACCATGCCTCTTACCCCGTAATCAATAGCTATGATCTGCAGTCAATAGCTATGATCTGCAGTCAATAGCCACAAAGCATTAAAAGCCTCCCGCACCTCCGAAAAAAGGGGAGGGAGAAGTCCAGAATTGGCTATAGAGGTGAGATATCCCAGCCCCGACATATATGTATCTGGTTTCTCCTAAAAGTTTGGTGTGGAGGAAAAACTCCAGCTACATACATATTGCAAGCAAAGGACTGGGGCGCTCTTATATTAACTATACCACTGAACCCTTGTCATCTGAAAAATAATACCGGGAACAAAATTTTCAGGTACATTCTCCTAACGAAATATCCTCTTCTGCTTAAATTAAATAGGTTGCACTTTAGTGATGGTGGTTGTGTTGATGACCATGATAATAATAAATAACGACGATTTGATGGAAGTCTAAAATCCTTCCATTTAACACCGGGGTCAAGAGATTTCACTCCTCTGAAAACGGAGGTATTCCGATTTGAAGAAAAAAAGAGGAGGAGGGGAAAATATTTGCAATACGTAGTGCGGAATCCCAATTTCAAACTTTTTATTGTCCAAAACAAAACAAATATGTCGTTGAGTGCGTAAAATCCAGTTGAAACAATCAGGAATGCACCAGGAAATTGGCGTCTAAAATATCTACACCCATATACACAGCTCCATCTTTTTCAGGAAAAAAAGGGAAGGAGGGAAGGAAGGAAAGAAGGAAGGAAGGAAGACCCACTGACTGTAAAGTGGCCAGATCCTGGATAATTCTTTCCGCCGTTTCACACGACTAGACAGACTCCTTGGCGTTACAAAAAGGCTGGGTGAGTGGGTGCTCGGGTAGGGAAGGGCAGAAAAACGGGGTTTCCCAATCATCCAAACGATTGCTGCGGAGAATTTGGGTTTGGGGGAAGGCGGAAGGGACCGCAGACTAAAAGAGACTGGCGTTGAAACTACAGTCGGCAGCTCGCAAAGCGTGCGCGCCCGCTGTCACATGCTATGCGTAGTCTCAAGCAGAGGAAATAAAACGCTTTTCCCCGCTTTCCGTGTGAGGGGCTGAATATCTGAACAACCTTCCGGGAAACGGGAGCTTGTAAAACGGAGGGAACAAACAAGCAGGCGAAGCGCACTGCGAGGAACGCCGTAGCTCCCTTGCGCTCGCCCTGCACGCCTGCTTTTTCGCCAGCCCGTTCCCAGCGCGCTGTGCTGCAGCCCTGGAAAGGAGCGGGCGGCGGCGGCGGCGGCGGCGGCGGCGGCGGCGCTGATGACCTCACGCGGCAACGCAGCGGAGCGGCCGACGGCGCCGCAGATTGGCTGGCGCGGGCTCAGCGGCACTTCAAAGCGAGAGAGGGAGCTACAATTGTGGTGGAATGGGCGGAACTGATCATTGTATTGCACACCTCTAAAAAAAACACTGCCTCTGATTTATCAATATAAAAAAGATCCTCTGAGAGGAGGGCACTTTGTGGGATGGCAACTTCACTTCTAGGGGTGAGTCCGGAGGGTGTGTTTTATTTTTCCCCTACTGCCCCCCCCCCCCCGCTTTGCTATTTTAATTGGGTCCTTTTTATTGGCGATCGCGGAGCAGGGTTAAGGCAGCCCCTCTCTTGACCGGGGGCTATTGAGGGTTTCATTTTTGCTTTTTTTTTTTCTCTTGACTCCATGCGAGTTTAAGAGAAAAGAAAGAGGAGAGAGGGAAGGGGAGGGGGAAGAGGGCAGCCACTTTTTTTTCCCAACCCCCTTGACATCGTGCAGGGAAAGGTTTTAAGGGCATTAGCCCTTAACAACCTCCAGAGCTTGGGCTGAGCTATTCCTGTATCCCCGGAGAACTGGCCTCTCTGTTGTCGACGCGGACGGGGAAAAACAGCTGCCTCGCTTGATCTTTTTCTCTCCCTGTGAGAGCTTTAAAAAAAAAAAAAATTGCAGCAGCTTGTTGCTGTTGTTGATCCCCCCTCCTTTTTAACATTTCTTTGAGCCCGACATTTCCTGCAGGTATGTTGATTGTCTCTGTTTCCTTGAGGTGCGGATATAAAAGTTTGCGGGGGGGGGGGGGGGGGGGGAAAGAATGCTATGAGCGAACTCGGAGACTAAAGGAACGTTTTAAATAA